TTACTACTATAGTTTTTGTTTTGGCACGTCACCATTTTTTGTTTATTTTTGTTTTTTTCGCAAATAACTTTTTATTCTTAAATTCGGCTACAAAAGTGATTGAAGCACTAACCTCTACTAAGGAAGCCCTAAAGAAGGATATAAATTTCATCGTTAGTGCTTTCATAATTTTCTGGCCAAAATTTGACCTCTAAACACTTCTTTAACGTATTACAATTTTTTATAAAGATGGTTAACCAAATTAATTATGGAATTCAAATGTACTAATTGAGCACTAAATAATGGCAAAACCGGATGTTTATTACTACTATAGTTTTTGTTTTGGCACGTCGCCATTTTTTGTTTTTTTCGCAAATAACTTTTTATTCTTAAATTCGGCTCTAAAAGTGATTGAAGCACTAACCTCTACTAAGGAAGTCCTAAAGAAAAATATAAATTTCATCGTTAGTGCTGGGTAATTCCATACCAAATCGATAACTTTTCGGCTCAACCTTTTTAATTTCGATAAAATTTTGTATACTGAGAGAATATCATTAGAAAGCATCGAATCCAAAATTTTAGCCTCCTAGTACTCATAGTTCCTGAGATATGAATGGCCAAAAGTGCCAAAAATGACGTTTTTTCGAAAAATGCGATTTTTTAAAATTGAGATAAGTTAAAAAATAATGATTTTAAAAATATAAGTTATATGTCAATTTATAACTCTATTAAGGGCCTTTTATTGAATATTAAAAATTTTTTCAAAATAATATTGTTGCGGTTTTTATTTAAGTTATAAATTTTAAACATGAAAACTCCAAGTGTTTCGCTTTAAATTTTTTTGAATTTAATATTTTCTTATTCTCTAACCTTATATCTATTCATAAAAAAATTTAAACTTGGGACAGCCATGGGTTTTTTAGTTATTGCGATTTAAAAAATCAAAAAATAAATAATATTTTCAAAAATAGATGGCGCTCCTTTATAAAATAACGCGTTTTGTTAAAATTATTATTTTTTTTAAACTTTTTTCCATTTTAAACATAAATAATAAGGTTTTCCAGCATTAATAATTTTAAATTTCGTAAAATTATTTATTTAATTTGTAAATACAATAGATAAATAAAAATTCATGAAAGATATTACTTAATTAATAAATTCGTCTGAAGATTGAGAAATAGTCTCCAGAGTTGTTCTATCTACCGAAACCCATTGTTTAAACGTAATAAGAGCTATATCATAATTTTTCAATGCGTTCTTTTAAGAGTGTCGAGCCAGGACACTCGCTACAGTCACCAAAATAACAGGTTGGTAATGGGGGTTGCAAATCATTCTGCCTATAACATCTCTATAAGTTGTTAATATATCCTCACCATTTTTAGTCAATGTTGCTCATTCACAGCCTAAAATCATTAGTTAATATTCTGGTGTATGCTACAAACGCATACACTATGTGTTCCGCTAGCCCCTGCCAATATGCAATTTTTTGGTCTTAAGCTTGCGAATTTCGAAAATCCAATTGTTATGCTTGAATTACTCTCCTTAAAATGATTATATAATTCTTTTAAATTATTAAGAACTAGCCTTTTTTGAGCGTTCACTCGTTCCCCCTTTTCAATGATAGATAAGCAATCTTTTTTTCCTGGTAATACCCTACTAACTTTATCACTGCAAAAAAAACTTTTAACAATATCAACTGTTTTGATTGAGATATTTTGCAGGCTTTCGATTTGGAGTTGAAAGAATCCCCTTTTCTTTTAAAATGATTTTGGAATTATATGCCATATGATATGTAGCGTTGAATTCCGTTTTTATTTTATTTGCACTCCAATTAGGAGGCAGAATGGTCAGCAATTGATATTTTTTATTTTTAGATAAATTAGGATAATGTAATTTCATATTGTATAGTATATCATTATTGTCTTTTGTGTCCGATTCTGGATTGTTAATTATTATATCTGAAAGAGCTTTTGATATTTTTGCTATCTTTTTTTTGGATAATTTTTTTCAGCTAGTTTTTTTTTCTTAATAGGAGATATTCCAATTTCGTTTAAGGTTTATGATTGTATCTATTGATGCGGATGCTGTGGGGATATTATTTACATATTCGCTATCAGAATTTATATTTTCAATATTTTTTTGTGATAAACGCTTACGACATTTATCACAAATATAGTGTTCCGCCTCAATGTTTGGAAATTGTGTCATCCACGTCGTAACTTTACGCAGGTTCTTTTTACAATAAAAGTGTTTAGATTCTTTAAAAGGATTTGCACATTTATATTTATACATAAATAATTTTAAGAAAAAATTAATATTGAAATATTTGTAAAATAAAAATTAATTAATATCAAGGCAGGTGCATGAAAACTTGTTATAATCTTTCAGAAATTAATTATATTTTCTTATATAGGAATTGTAACTATCTTTTTAGGAAATTAATCATTTATTATAAAAACTAATAATTTTTACAAGTTATCAATAAAGTAATAATAATAATAAGTAAGTCTATCAATTGATCTAAATAATATATTTTCATAATATTAATGCTGGAAAATCTTATTATTTATGTTTAAAATGGAAAAAAGTTTAAAAAAAATAATAATTTTAATAAAACGCGTTATTTTATAAATGAGCGCCATCTATTTTTGAAAATATTATTTATTTTTTGATTTTTTAAATCGCAATAACTAAAAAACCCATGGCTGTCCCAAGTTTAAATTTTTTTTATGAATAGATATAAGGTTAGAGAATAAGAAAATATTAAATTCAAAAAAATTTGGAAAGCGAAACACTTGGAGTTTTCATGTTTAAAATTTATAACTTAAATAAAAACCGCAACAATATTATTTTGAAAAAAATTTTAATATTCAATAAAAGACCCTTAATAGAGTTATACTTATATTTTTAAAATCATTATTTTTTAACTTATCTCAATTTTAAAAAATCGCATTTTTCGAAAAAACGTCATTTTTGGCACTTTTGACCATTGATATCTCAGGAACTATGAGTACTAGGAGGCTAAAATTTTGGATTCGATGCTTTCTAATGATATTCTCTTAGTATACAAAATTTTATCTAAATTAAAAAGGTCGAGCCGAAAAGTTATCGATTTGGTATGGAATTACCCTGCTTTCATAATTTTCTGGCCATAATTTGACCTCTAAACATTTCTTTAGCATATTACAATTTTTTATAAAGATGGTTAACCAACTTAATTACGGAATTCAAATTTGCTAATTTAGCACTAAATAATGTCGAAAATCGGATGTCTAGTACTACTATAGTTTTTGTTTTGGCAAGTCGCCATTATTTGTTTTTTTCGCAAATAACTTTTTATTCTTAAATTCGGCTACAAAAGTAATTGAAGCACTAACCTCTACTAAGGAAGCCCTAAAGAAGGATATAAATTTCATCGTTAGTGCTTTCATAATTTCCAAAATTTGACCTCTAAATATTTATTTAGCGTATTACGATTTTTTCATATGGCGGTTAACCAAATTAATAACGTAATTTAAATAAATTAATTAAGCACTAAATAATGGCGAAAACCGGATGTTTTGTACTACTCTAGTTTTTGTTTTGGCACGTCGCCAATATTTGTTCATTTTTTTTTAATAACTTTTTATTCTTAAATTCTGCTACAAAAGTGATTGAAGCACTAACCTCTACTAACGAAGCCCTAAAGAATGATATAAGTTTCATCGTTTCACGCTTAAATCGTGAGGTCATAATTTTTATTTAGCTTATAACTTTTTTTCCATATGGCGGTTAACCAAATTAATAACGGAATTTAAATACATTAATTAAGCACTAAATAATGGCGAAAACCGGGTACTACTATAGTTTATGTTTTGGCACATCGCCAATATTTTTGTATTTTTCGCCAATAACTTTTTATTCTTAATTCGGCTACAAAAATGATTGAAGCACTAACCTCTACTAACTAAGCACTAAAGAATGATATAAGTTTCATCGTTAGTGCTTTCAGTCAACTTTTAAGCGTGAAGTTGGCGCAAATTTTTATTTTTGCTTATAACTTTTTTCCCTTAAATTCGGCTACTATACGGATTAGAGCACTAATAAGCACTAAAAAATGACATATGATTCATCGTTAGTTCTTCCAAATGTTCGGCCAACTTCACGGAGCTTTATTTATCTAATAAAATTTACAATATAATTCCTCAATAAAAGATGTATTTACAAAGAAGATTGTGAAAATCACTAATAAATTATATTAAAAAGAATATTACATTTTTACAATATAGCAGCATATTATTTTTTTTATTAAAAAAAAACATCAAATAAATAAATTTATTTTCATTTCAAAATAAAACAATATAAATAAAAAATATTAAATCATATCATGTTTATTTGTTGATTGTTGTTAAACGGCTCGTTTTGAGCTGATTTTTAAAATCGGCTAACTCAGTGTTTTATCCAGAAAAATATTATGCAAGCCTGAAAATTTTGATCATAGAAGGAGCAAAGGTCTAGACATATAGTATCGAAATTTTGAGGCTTAGTCAATATTTTTCTCAAAACTAGCCGTTTAACAACATCAGTTGATAATAATAAAATATTTACATTAAATATAAATAAAATAAATTATTTTACTAAAATAAATAAATAATAATTAATGCTATGCATCGATGCAGAATTTTTGACTAATTTATTTTAGCCCATTTTTAGGCTTAGCCAATTTTTAGGCTTAGCTCATTTTTAGGCTTAGCCCATTTTTAGGCTTTACCTAATTAGGCTTAGTTTTCACCTAAAATCTCGGCTAAGCCGTTTTATAGCCGGCTAAAATTAGCCGATTACGCAACACTAGTTCCGAGGGTTCAAGTTCCAAAAAATTTAAAATTTTATAAATTTCTTTAATAATGAGATTTAGGTATCTTTAAAAATAGAAGGATGGGAATATGAGTAACTTAGGTTTGGAGGATGATGCCAATAATTATAAAAGGTATAATTTAGTTTCCAATTGGCATTTCAAATATATAATTTTTTTTATAATATAGGCCGTTACCTTTACATGGCTGGTGGCGAATTCCCGGATGGAATAACGAACTCTGGGTTATGGAGATACGAATTTTTCATTGACGTTTGGCAAGAGTTGCCTGCCATGAATATGGCTCGCACAGAGCTAGGTAATTATGTGATTTATATTTAAATAGGGTTTAAAATAATTTATATTTAATACTTCCTTTTTTAAACTCCATATTTGACTTTATCCTCCTTTATTTTTCTATTTTGTTAATGGAATTCCCCGAATTACTTTATCTTTAGCTAGGTCTTGTAAAATGACCCGTGGATTTTTAAGTTTGGCAGCTCCCACTTATATCGAAAAATATTGATCAATTTATAAACAAGAAGGCCTTAATTTTTTTTTATCAATTATTAATATAATTACATAATAAAAAATATCATTTATTATTTAACAGAAAAATAATATAAAATAAATTGTATAGATACGATTCGGGAATAATTTTTATCAACTTAAAATCAGGGTTTCGACCTGTTAATGTTTCATTTAGTTCTTGTTTTAATTATAGCGGTTTTGCTCTATTCGGGTAGTTCAAAATTATATCATTTTCCAAAATTCATTAAAGTTCCGCTTGATATAAAAAAAATGATCATAATAAAATATATGGATCTTAACATTTTCTAATCTTGTATTTAGTGCATATAAATTTAATAAACTAAATAAATTCACTGAGGCATAAAAATTAGTATTATATTTATTTATATATTTGCAGACTTTAAAAATAGAGCTATAAAAAGTAATATTACACATTGCAGGTTAGATTTTAAAATAATTATTTAGGGTTGACTAAATTAATTGTATATTTTTCAAAAATTGATATATAAACTTATAATTAAAAATGAATATAAAAAACTATTAAGACGGGTTTAATAAGAGACTGGGCAAAATAACTTTGGCCTAGTCTAACCAGAATACAAAAATAACTCAGCATTATTTACTGCAATTATATGATGAAGCAATATGATAGAATAAGTTATCGACAAAATACGTAGACTTTCTATATGAATATTTAATGTAGAATAAAATGATGTTAATAGTAGTTGGTTGACGCTAACTGGATAATAGTTTTCCAATGATCGTTTTTAGGGCTGTGCCGATCCATATATTTTTAACCTATCCTATCAGATATTTTCCGATATACCGGTCCGATATTTATCCTGATTTTTCACCACCCCCCTTTGAACCAAATGTAATTAAGAAATCAATATTTTTTATGCAAAAAATCGAATTATGCATTTAATTTAATTTATTTCTACAATTAAGACTAATTTAAAAAAAAAACAATAAATAGATAAAAAAAATATTATAATGTAAAATAAATATACATAACATAAAATAACAAAAAAAAGAAAAGTAAAAAGATCGGATCGGGTTTTGCGGGTATCGGCCCTATCCGATATTTTTGAGAAACGCTAAATATCGGTGCCGATCCGATCCGATATTTAATATTGGCACAGCCCTAATTTAAAATTTGCTAAGATGGATAATTTTAAAGAAATTGATCGCATAAGTATATTTGAAAAATCTTAAATTGCAGATTACTATCTTAATCTAATAAATATATAATGTCACTGGTATTTTATTAAAAGGCCTAGCTTACTTAGACGGATACGTTTACGCCATCGGTGGTTGGGACTCGACTAATAGGCTCTCTTCCCTTGAACGCTACGACCCTCATAACGCCTTATGGCAGCAAATGTTACCCATGCCTGAACCATTATCCAGCCCAGCCGTCGTCACACACAGGGGACTTCTATACGTTCTAGGTTTTTTTTCACCTAAATTTTTACCGTATCTAGCAGGGACTTTTACATCCCTTAAGTCAATGATGATTTCCCCCCTATTAAATCAAAATTAGCAAAAAAGGAAATTTAAATTAAAACTACCCCCTAGACCCTGTTATCAAGTTAACATCTTGATAAAGTGATATAATTAACCGCTATTGAGGGTTCTGATGTTTTTTCAAATAAGCTGAAATCGATGCTTTATTTTACCGCCGAGTTAAACCACTTTTTCTAATCAACACCAAAAATAGAGGTTTATAGATCACTCTTGCCAATCCGATATTACTGGTATTAAATATATCATATCTGATTTTGTATTCTGTAAACATATTAGTTAGGGCTGTGTCGATCCACATATTTTTTACCGATCCGATATTTTCCGATAATTTAATTTGTTTTATCATTTTATTAAATATAAGAGTATTATATAAACAAAATAAAATTAAGTATGAATAATATAATAATTAATACAAATATTTAATTTAAATAAATGCGAATGTCTTTGTTTGTAGAACTTCCTTGGAAGGAATTAGAAGAGGGACTTAATGGAGGCGGTAGATCTATTCCATTCTTTAACCAAGAGCCCATACATATCAAAGCTTGTATTGTTTTGTTTAAAAGCCTATTCCATTTTTTAGTGACAAGATCTCCTGCTTTCGAAAATATTTGTTCACAGGGGACAGATGTTGCTTGAATTGCTAAAAAATTTCTAACTGCTAATGAGAGGACTGGAAATCTATATAATAAACTATATTGACTATTTAAAAAATATAAAAGACCTTTCACTATTGGCTTTCCACCATACTAATATGTCATCCTTTAATGAAACAAGAGGTTCATTCAAATAGGTGTGAAGTTCTGTTATATTTTCTTCAATGATTTCTGCCGATATATAATCCCCTTCTGAATTTCTTTTTTGGGATAAAATTCTTTCTAAAAAACTAAATTCATTGACTTCTTCCTGGCACAAATGTCTGAAAATTAGGATTTAATAAATAAATATTAAAAATATACCTGAAAATCCGTTATTCCTGTATTTTTTTTATTTTCTATTTTCCTTAAATATTTTAAAAATTTGGTCATATACTCAATTCTATTAAGAGTATTAGGCATGTAAACTTGTTTTAATCTCGGATCCAATAATGTTGTGACATATGATTCATAGCAAAATAATTCTTTGAGATATTTCTGCATTTTAACCAGCATGTTATTAAGAATTTCTTTTCTTATATTGTTATTATCCTTTTTTATATTATTTAAAATTTCATTAATTATATTCTCCATATATAACATGGAAATCCCAACTGTAGGATATTTGGATCCTGATAAATCAAGTGTGGTTTTATAGAAGGGCATTAGAAAATCTACCTCTTTAAGGTCTTCTTTTTCACACTCAGTAAAGAAAACCCCTTTAAATTGTTTGTAATTCAAAAAAAGTACTTCTTCTATAGCATCCATGTTCTAAAAATTAAATATTTTTTAAAAATAATTGGATAAAAATGTAAATACCTCATAAATTGTATTCATCATTAAATAGGAGCTATTCCATCTAATAGAGATATCAGAAGGGATTTTAAATTTTGTAATACCCTTATTTTCACATATTTGTACATATGCTTGATTTATTTTCGGTGATTTATTTATAGAAAAGGCTATGTCTCTACACTTTTCTAGGATAGTTGTAATATATGATAAACCTTCCTGAGATATTAGGTTTAGAATATGGGCACAGCATCTAAAGCCTTTAAATTTTTGTTCCTTATAAATATTCTGCAAAATATCCATGCTTTTTAGGATGTTATTGGCATTATCTGTGATATACCTCAATTACTTCTTTTATAGCTAAGGATATTTCTTCAGAAATATGAGGAAATGGGATATGATTTATATCAAGTAAAATATTTTTTAATGTAAAAGAAGAATCAATATAGTGTGCAGTAATGGCTATAAATGAAATTTTATTTATATTGCTCCACATATCTGTGGTAAAGCTTATTAAAGAATTATTTTTATTTAAAATATCTTTTAGAGAATTTCTTAGTTTCTCAAAATTAGCTGTATAAAAATTTTTAACTTTGTTTTTTGACCAAATTGTAGCAGTTGAGTTTAAATATTTGATTAAATTATGAAGACCTGAACTTTCAAAAGTCTTCATTGGCAGAGAGTCCATTATTACCTATTTTATAATGAGTTGGTTCATATGATCTGTTTGGAATTTATCCAATGGTATTGAAGAAAGTGATTTTGTACTTGTGAAGGGCATATTTAAATTAAGAGTAGATTGTGTTTTTGAGATATTTTCATTATTAGAAGTATAAATTTTATGTTTTATCATGTCTGCTTAAGGTACCTAATTATTTTATTAAGAATGGTTAAATTATTTTGACAATGAATTATTCAGACAGTTTCTTAAGAAAAAATAGATATATAAATAATAACCAAAATATTTTAATATTAATACTGCTTATTTTGATTAATTTATTGCTTAAAAAATTATAAACAATTATTTTGTTACTTGTTGCTGACGATATGTTAAATTTGGTATTACAGTGAACACATATTCTATGTTTTTTATTAGGACTATAAGTAAAATGTTTCTTGGACAAACTTATGGTTTTCATATTGTAAAAAAAATTAACAAAATCTAAAATAACTCCTCTAGAAAAATATCATAAAATAAAATATACAAAAAAATTATATTAATTGAATAGTAAAGTAAACTTAAATATTAATAAAAGACCGGTCCGGACCGTAAAAAATAAAAAGACCAGTCTGGACCACGGTCCTCAACAAAAAGATCGGTCCGACAATCGGCCCGGTCCAGGTCTAAGACCGATAGGACCGGACCGTTGACCTTCACTAATTCAGATACAGTATAAATTCTTTATTCTTTTATTTAAAGTATAAATTCTTTATTCTTTTATTTAAAGTATAAATTCTTTATTCTTTTATTTAAAGTATAAATTCTTTATTTGAACGTTGGCCATAGACCTGCTCAAGGGTGAGCTTACGTGAATTATATGAAGGCCCATCCTTCATATAATTATGCCGATTTTTTTCCTCAAGGATACCAACAAACCTTGTAACCCAGATATGAGGTTATATGAGGGTGAAATTACACCCGAGCCATATATATATATATGTTTAGTAATAAGTATAGCAAAGAAAGAAGTAGAATATAAGAATAAAAAAGAAAAGTCCTTCTTCCAAAAAAAATATAAATTTTAATTTATGAATTTAGTTAGAAATTTGTAAATATTAAATTATAAATTATTTAAAAAGATTTAAAATAAATAAAACTTTGAGTGTTCCTCTCTCTCTGATTGATACATGGATCATGGTATAATCTCTGGTATTAATGAGGTCAATAAAAATCCTAGAGATCAGTTCTTTTTTAGGGTTAATTCTCGATCAAAGCAAATCGATCCTTGGTATTGGTGCATCTTGGTAATATTAAATAAAATAATTTATTGGCATAATTTACCTTCTGTTTCTCAAAATGACAAGCCTTAACCCTAAATGAGATTCAAACTGTAAGGTATTAATGGATTGGCTATAAAATATTTTAAAAATGATTGCAAGTAATTATATTTAATTACTTTGAAGTGACATATTAGTCTCAAGCCTTGATATCGCTGCATCTTGGAAATTTAAAAACATTGGCATAATTTAACCTTTGTTCTCAACAATACAGGCCTTAACCCTATCTGTGGTTCAAATTGTAAAGTTCTATAATTTATATTTCCAAGCTGCATTAATACCAAGGATCACACCTAATATGCCACTTCAATGTAATTAAATATAATAATTTGCAATCATTTTAAAAATATTTTATAACCAATCCCATTAGAACCTTACAGTTTGAACCTCCGATAGGGTTTAAGCCTGTCTTGTTGAGAACAAAGAGTAAATTATGCCCTAAAATTATTTTATTATTTATTATAAAGATGCTTCAATAACAAACTTACAATTGGATTCTTCTTCACATCAGGCACGTACGCAGGAATTTGGTCTGGGGGGGGATAATAAAATTTTTTAAGAAATATTATTTTTTTTAAAATATCAAGCATAAATTTATTAGGACAAATAACTATTTCTAATACACAATTTTTAATTTATGTGAATTATAAAAAAATCACATGTAAAGAATCACTTAAATGACCCAAAATAGAAATTTGATTTTTTTGAGCCTTTACACAAAAAGTTTCTTAGGAATAATTCCATTTTATATGTTATATATTTACAATGTAAAATCCAATCTTCGTTGTGATTGAGCTAATTTTTCAATTATCTCATCCTTGCTTGTCATCAAATGCCTATGAATATTCAAAAGATCCAAACCTTTCAATCTACTTTCAGATGTTGTACTTTTTGGTATGTTTTTCACAGACCTGCAGGCCCGGCCCCCGGGCTGGACAGTATTTTAATTTTTTAAATATACCCGGGCCAGGCCTGAATTATTTTTTAAAAAACACCCAAGTCGGGCCTGAAAATTTTATTTTAAAAAAAGCCGGGCCGGGCCTGAAAATTTTTAAAAAAACCCAGGCCGGGCCGTAAAAAATCTTTAAAAAAAATCCGGGCCGTGCCCTGCAAATGGTACTTCTGCAGGCCTCTGTTATTCTTCTTAAAAAAGAGAATGTTCTCTCATTAGTTTACTAACAAGAGTTTATAAACCCTTTTAATACATTGGGAATTTAATCTAAAATGTGTTTGAAATAATGCAGAGCATCCATAGCATTTTTTGTGACTATATCAACCATTGTTAATCTTATAAACATAGTTATTCAGCTAGTAAAGCATCATAAGATACTTTAACATCCTCATAATAAAAATCTAACAAATATTTTTTTTTCTATCACCATCTGAAAAAGGTTGGAAGTAATATTTGCAGATTAGTAAGTGCTGCATGATGAATTAAAAATTCATTTATTTGGGTTATAAATGTATCTGTATTTAAGATATACTCTTCTACTGATTCTATA